GACCCGGCCCAGCGGTCATGGAGCCGTTGGCAGCGCAGCAGCTGCCCGCTGTGGAGCAGAGGCCAAACCGCACCGGTGCGTGAGGAGGCTCGGTCCCCACACGGCCGGCCCTGTTCCCTGCCTCCCTCGGCCGCCGTTACCGCCGGTCCGCGCAGAGCCCTGTGCCCGGCCCTCACCGTCCCGGCGGGGAGGGCAGCAGGGGGCGAGGTCGCGGTCTGACCTCCCGCTGCCTTCGCCGCCATCTCCCCGACCAGGTGCTGTGCCATCCGGGAGCAAAAGCAAGAGGGAAGTAGAGCTGAACACGACCCTGCGGGAGCTGCTCATCTACGTCGCTTTCCTGGTAGACCTCTGTATACGTAAGTGATCAAACCACCGAGGTAACTGTTCACAAATAATTGATGTGTAAGCTGTACGTTTTTTAATATTTAGTTCTTATCCCACCCCTCATCCACCCAGAAAGGTCACTTCAGTCGAAATGGCCATGACTGCCTTTTTCTAGCTCCATGGCTTAATGACAACTGAAGCAGAGGAGCAAAAGTAGAATCTGTTGTCATCCTCTCATTTCAGCCTGCGAGCATCTCCTCTTTGCCCCCTCTTTCCAGTGACATTTGGCATGGTGAGCACAGACATGTACTACCTGAATGAAGCCATGTCCCATCTCTTCCTGGAGCCACCCTTCTCCGAGGACGACAGGAGTGGTTTTGGGAGCATTAGGAGCAGAGCTGATTTCTGGAGGGTATGTCTTTCATTGCAGAGATGTTCTCTTGGAGAGCAAATAAGTGAAGAAGCTCCTAGTGTGCATTCGGAGCAATACAGTCTCACAGTTCACCTAAAAGCCATGTGCTAGATGGTGTGCTCTCAGCTGAAGAAAAGCAAGTAACTTCTTAAAATGCATTTGGGGAAATTCTAGGTACAAACAATAATGCTGATACTTCTGAATAATCAGTCTTAGGCTTGGTCTGGAAAGAGCTTCAATAAAAATAGAAAGATTTTTGGATTGACAGTTCTTTCGGCTTTCAACCATTAACAAAAACTTTTATGGTTTCCACTGGGGCAGGCAGAAGACCATGCCATCTTGTTTCACCTGGTTTGCTGTTACATCATGTTTCAGTGATAGTTGCAAAACACCTCTCTCTTTTTTCACTGTTAGATGGAGAACTTCCCAAAATTACCAGCATTGCCTAGCTGACAGCAGAAGGCAAAGTTTCTCACCCTACTCTTCCTTAAAAATGGAAAGGTCTGGTTATAAAAATTTACTTGGACAAATTGTACTGCCTCTTATCATGGCGTCTGTTATTGTTGGTCCATAAAATAGTGAGTCCTCGGTATACATTGTGTGTGCTGATGTACTAGAATGGTTGTAATACATGCTCAGATAGTGCCAAACCATGGGGCATGTTGTTTTGTACTCAGAATAATGTTCTCCCCAAGTTTAATGCCCTTTATCTGCATCTAAGAAACAACCAGCAAAAGGGATTATCCCCCACCTTCAACAATAAACACTTCATCATTTAAATTCAGGTGACTAAAATTCAGAAATATATCCCAAAACAGATCTTCAGAGATTAAGATAACCAACAGATTTTGTTAAAACAACATATACTATGTGTTTAAACATATTTGTTTAGAATTTAGCAGAATTTTTCAATGAAACACCAGTTTCAATGTTGTAGTCTTACCCTGAATAATCCCATTACATGTCTCTCAGAATTGCATAGGGAATAGAATTGATTCAGAGCAAAACGATGTAAATGTATATAGGTGGTTATTGTTTGTATTCTGGCTGAGACTCTGTAGCTATGAGTAACCTGAGAACCTTGTACCCTGCGATTTGCATGCTAAAAAGTGGAGTCATGGTGGTATTTAAATCTTTGTTTGAATCTTTAAGCTCACTTGTACAAATAGTTTGCAGAGGGACCCCTGCTGAATGGACTCTACTGGGACAAATGGTATAACAACAGGACGCTAACCTTCCAGAACAGCAGCAGCCACATTTACTATGAGAATTTGCTGTTAGGAGTAGCCCAGATTCGCCAGCTGAGAGTACGCAACAACACTTGCTCTGTCTACCCGTCTTTCCGTACTTTTTTACAAGACTGTTACAGTGAATACCATTACCGAGCTGAAGACAGGTCGGACTTCGGTCTACAGAACGAATCTGAGTAAGTCATCCTACTTCAGCATAGAAATGTTTCTGAAAACCTAACCACATCCTTACTGCCACTATTTTTCAGTTAGCAACAACTGTGCATGCAGTTAGCTGAGTTTTTCTCTTGTTTGCATTGAGATAAGCCGTGGATTTGGTTTTTGTGCCAACACTATAGATGGAAATTTGGTATGGGAAGTTTATAGCAGAGAGAGGAAGAATTGGAGACCATAAGCCCAGTTCAGCCAAAGCACATTTTAATGGGCCTATCTCCATTAACATTTCAGGAGAAATGTTCAGTTATATGAGGCCTGAATTTAAATCACATGCTCATAAATTGGAATAGTGCAAAAATGCTCTGCAAGCGGAACCAAAAGGCCTGCTTCACACACTTCATTTAGCAGTGATTTAACCCAGTGAAAGAACATGTGAACATGCGACAGTAACAGTGAACTACATAAACCAAAAATACTCCATTTACCTACAAAGGTTTTAAGGTCATAAACTCTCGCCCACGTTGGCTGAAATCCAGATTCGTAAGCAATTGTTGTTTTGTGAATGTACTGAGTATTTAGCAAATAAGAGAAATGGGAATATTTTAAGGCCACATGTCTCATGTATACTTCATGTAAATAAAAATGTTTTCTAGAGGTCTGGCTTAAGTGGTCAGTTGTGGATGCAGAAGAACACAAGAACTAACAAGGATTGTATAAAATAAAAGGTAAAGCTTACCTCAGTCCAGTTTCTATAAGCTGAGCTGCATTGTTTTCCTGTTTCTGATAGATGGAAATACACCTCAACCTCCTCGTTATCCCCATGGTACCGGGGATCTATGGGCTCGTACAACAGCGGAGGATATTTGTTCACCTTACCTAAATCGAAGCAGGAGAGCATGAAGAAGTTGGTGTTTCTCAGGCAGAACAGCTGGCTCACTAGAGGAACCAGGGTTGTGTTTGTTGACTTCTCAACATATAATGCTAACATAAACCTCTTCTGCATAATCAGGTGAGTTCTTACCTTTACTACTTGTGAAATCCAACTTACTGAGACATGCTACTTCCATAAGGACACAAGGAAAAGCTGGCCACCTCAGGGATATGTAGCCATGTTTCTCAGGTAGCATCTGGCAAGACAGTGATTCCTTAAAAATGCAGAAATTCAGTTAGTCCAGGGAGCAGCCTTGGATCCTTCCTTTCTGTTTTGGTTTTCCAATAGTAGGTGTCTGGTCTGTACAGCTGGTTGCTGCTGTCCATTGGAATTGATTTCACTGCCTTTTGCAAGGTCAAAGACTGGATTATCAGTCCTGTTGTCAGCTAGTGAAGGGACTCAGGGTAGGGTGAACATTCGCTTTTCTGAGAGTTTCTGTAAGGACTTCTAACCAAGCACCATGCCTTGGGAATCCGAAGAGCTTCTCTGTTTCCCTTCAGCCTTCCCTGCCACGTTACACTCTTCTCATTAGGAACTTAGCGTAGCCCTTACAAGAAGATCCAACAGATGTAAGAGTTCCAGTAAGGTATTATTAATGTTGTAGTAATTAATGTTAGAAAAGTAAGGGGTGAGATGATTTAAAAGGATGGTAACTAACACAAGTCCCCATTTCTTTTCAGGTTGGTGGTAGAGTTCCCTGCTACTGGGGGGGCTCACACCTCCTCACATATCTACTCTGCGAAGCTCCTCAGATACGTCACAGGTTACGATTACTTCCTGGCTTCTTGTGAAGTTGCCTTTTGCTGCATTATCACTATATTCATAATCCAGGAAGCTGTCAAGATAATAAAACTGAAAAAGGAGTATTTCAGAAGTGTCTGGATCTTGCTGGATTTGCTGCTGCTGGTGGTGAGCTACTCCTTGACTTTCACCTCCATGCAGCCCCGGCTGTTGCTGGACAGACAGCCGGCATCTGGCTGGTTTCTGGTTAGAGTCAGTCACCCGCTGGCCTGCACTGAAAAGGCTGCATGGCCACCACGGTTCCGCACACCTGAACTCTTTTCTAGCCTTGCTGTCAACCCGTTATGCCTCCACGTCCTTTCTACTTGGTATCCACTGTGTTTGTTTTAGCCTTAATCTTTGCAGAGCAGGGAACACTAGCGCATAACAGAGCTAACACAGTAAAATTAGAATGTATATAGCACAAGCCCAGAATTGTTACAGTGAACTTACAAATTCTTTGGGCAATAATGTCTCGTATATAGAGTTTATGACAAAACATCTAAAAAGCTCAGGTGCTTCAAATCTAACGAAGGGCCCTTGAAAATCTATACAATCTTTCTCGTGCAAAATGACAAGTCTGAGGAGAGGGGATGTGGCTGGACTTCACTTTCACTGGCTTCTGCTTTCCTTCAGGTATCCATCATTGCCATTGTCTTTAATATCTACCGCACTTCAAAAGTGTCCGAGCTAATGAAAGAGCTGCTGTCTGATGCCGATGTGTATCCAGACTTCTATTTCCTTGCATCCTGGCAAGTCCTTTACGATAACATGATTGCTGTCACCATCTTCCTTGCTTGGATAAAGGTATCGGCTTTCGCTCCTTTTGTTTGTACTTGAGAATCGTAGTGTTTCCAAGCATAGCAGAAATGCTCACTTTCACTTATTCATAGCTGAACTGCAAACGTGGGGCTAAAAGGGAGCATTTTGTTTGTAAGATTCCAGAAGAGTTTAAAATTATCTCCTTCCCATAAACATGGGTCACACAAATTCCAAGTCCATCTAAAGGAAGTTTTGCACATGGGCAGCTGTCTCCATTGGAGCAGCTGGGAAATTACCACGGCCAAAGAGCCTCCTCAGACTCAGTGTTTTCCTAGACACAGTGTTATACAGGTGGCACGGCTGTAATAGGTGAATCTTTAGTAGACAAAAGCTATGAAAACAGCAGCTACTTTTTAACTGCAGAGGAAGGCAAAACGTGTCTGAACTTGACTCAGAAGTGGCTTTGTATCAGGATGCCTTTAATTTCATTCTTGCTTGCAGGTAGATTTGCTGATCTCTGGGCAGAATAGCAAACTTCTCTGAGATGAGGGGCTACTTTTGTTCCTAACCAGGCACTCTGAGGCCAAACCAGTCCTGCATGTTTGCATGCCACTGCCCCTAATCTGCTCAAACCCTGCTGGCTTTGACTGGGGTCTGCAACCCTTCCACTGTACCCAGCGGACATCTGTGACTTCAGTTTGGGTGGCCTCAGTGTTGCCAGTGACTGGGTGAAATTTCCCAAAGCTTTGCCTGATCCCAGGTGCTTCTCCCCCCAAGGTATTTGTAAAACGCCCAGCACAAAGCGGCTGTGAAACAGGCATGAGAGGCGCTCACATCTGCCAGAAGAGATCATGCTGTACAGTCATACCCCAAGTACCTGAACATAAGTTATCATGAAAGGTCATGTCCTTGAAAAATAAACTGGCTTTTGGCCTTCCTCCATCTCGCAGGCCAAGGCTATGGGAAGAAGCTGTTTGGGAGCACTGGCTGTTAACCAGTTGTGTGGACAGTCTTCCTTGTTATATCCATTCTGTACCCCAGTTGCACGTTCCTGCTGCATCATCCTCAATTAACTGAGTACTGTTAATTGAGTAGCACAACTGTTTCCAGTTAATGACTGTCATTGAACAAGGCTTTTGTTCAGGCCTTGTTTCAGACCCAAAGTAAAAGAGGGCTCCTTACCAACTCAGCCCACCAGGGAATCCTCAGATACAGGAGGGTAGTATGGCTTGCAACCTCCTTGGCCAGAGGTCCATATCTGCTAGAGCTGATCACACATACCAGTACCAACCACCACCGTTTCCACACACTGTTAGCTTTAGTACATAAGCATATTTGCCCTGCAGAATATTCATCTTCTCTAGAAACACACCCAGTCCTAGTTCTCCTTACAGATAACATACTGTGCAACTTATCTCCAGGTAAGACTTAACCTGTAAATTATGATTACAAATAATATTCCAGAAATTTTGTTAAGAAGCTGCAATATATTTTGACCCCCCAGTAACAGTGTTCTGTTCTCTTGCAGATATTTAAATATGTAAGATTAAACAACACCATGACGCAGCTGTCCTCCACTTTATCTCGCTGTGCCAAAGAGATCATTGGATTTGGCATCATGTTCTTCTTAATTTTCTTTGCCTATGTCCAGTTCGGCTATCTGGTCTTCGGGTCGCAAGTTAAGGACTTTTCCACTTTCCAAAACTGCATGTATGCAATATTCTAAACTTTTTGATACAAGACCCCCAGCTGGTGCAAGTGCAAACCAGTTTCTGCTGAGCAGAACTTAAGAGTACAGGTCTCCAACACTTAAGCTTATTTCACAGAGTAAGACCAATTTTGTTGGCCGTACAGTCTGTTTACCAAAGCCTTTAAAAGAGACCACATGTACATTAAACAGGTCAGGGAAGGATAAGAAAGAGGGAGGCTCAGGAGCAGCCCACCCAGTGGGGCTATATTCCCCACCACTTCTCAACACAACTGTGCCACATGTAACCAGGCCACTGGGCCTTGAGGCAGGCCTAACGCCCCTTTCAATAGCAAGGGCATGAACCTACCCAGCAGACGTGCCACTGGGTTTGTGGGACAGTCCCCAGCACCAAAACCACAGCAGAACTGCTTGGCAAACCCCAGTGGCTCAGAGCACAGGCTAAGCATGTTTGCAAACAAGAATTACTGCTCTTCTAAGAAAACATCCAGCTGCATAGGGAGGAGTCCCCACATCCCAGCTGCTGGCTCTGTTACTTTCAGCACCACCACCACAGGTGCCAGCTGGGACTGGTTTTGATGGTCCTTGCACCCTGTAGCAACCCCCAGTGTGCATTCTGGTTTAGCCCATGGCTGTGTTTCTTGCAACTTTAGAGAGATATCTGTAATGTACCAGATTGTTTGAAAGCTGTTTTCATGTATAATTAAGGCACTTCTAAACTAGAAAAATAGGTACTTCTGGATCCACTTGGATGTGAGATAGTTCTAAGATGCTGGAATACAGAGAAATAAGTATTTATTGGTCTTAGCCAGGATTAAAATTCCCTATAGGGGGACATAGGTAACCTATACTGTTAGAAGATGAGAAATCATAAAAGCTGGAACTGAAGGGAAATAATTGGAAAAACAAACAAACAAAACCAAACCAAAACCCTGTGATTTATCCAAAATTAAAGTATTTTCTCATACAAGCCATTGAAAAATTCCTTTGTACTTTCAAATTCTCAAATACATGCTGAATGCCTAGTTTACCATTGCAGTATTATCCTGGCTTGCCTTTTTATTTCAGTGACTAAGCTACTGGTGAATCAGTCTCAATTATATCTACTGCCTTCTTTTTGTTTTTAAAATAATGCTTACAATACTTCCCTGTAGGAACAGCCACTCAACTTCATTCTTGTATTTTTCATTCCCAGCTACACGCAGTTTCGTATTGTGCTGGGAGATTTTGATTTTGAAGCCATAGAGGAGGCAAACAGAATCCTTGGACCTATTTACTTCATCACATTTGTATTCTTTGTGTTCTTCATATTGCTGGTAGGTATAGTCTTAAAGATGCTTTTCCTTTTGCATAAGCAGTAGAGAAAAGCTGTTGTACAGTGCCCTGAGACAGTGCTTTCCACACAAAGATACCGGTGGGCTTGCGCTGGCCGCCCCTCAGTACAGAGACAGCCCAAACTCTTTTGCAGGAGCTCCCAGCTGCATTTCACAGCTCTCCCTTCCTCCAAAGGGCCACAGAAGGGGCTTTTGCACCACAAAGCAAGCACGTTGCGCCTTTCACTCTACTGCACCACTCATTTCTCAAGATTTTAATTTCTGAAAACTTAATTGGGTGCTCTTGAAAACTGCATAATGTCAGCCCTGTCAGGTGTGAAGGTTAATGAGACTGATGGGACTGTGTAGGCGTGGGTTTGCTTTATTAGACTGGTGTTTTCATTAAGTACAGGTTGAAACACCACCTGAAAAACCTGCAAGTATATGACAGGAAATCTGTTACCTCCAGAAAACTGGGTCTTTTATACAATACCACAGATAGGAAATAAGTGATTTGTCTCCCAAAAATATTCCTTAAGATCCTAAGATTATCAGATAATTTAAGTGCATTAGGAGCATGTCTGCACCCAGCAAAGCTCTTCAATTCCAGTAGTTATGTGCCCTGGCATAGAACTGCCCCTAGAACAACAGCCCCAGCATAATACAAATGCACTTTCCAGAAATAAATATCTAACTGCATCTTTCCCGTGCAGAACATGTTTTTGGCTATTATAAATGACACCTATTCAGAAGTCAAAGCAGAATTTAAAGTGAAACTCAGTCGTGAACTTCACACAGGAGACCTCTTTAGACGGGTAAGTAAACACTTCTGTAACTACCTCATTTAATTCAAGATAAGAGGAGGAATTCCATGCTATATCACTAGGAAAGAGTCTTATATAGCTGGGCCATAACCCTTTAAAAACACCCAGTATTTGATTTTTCACTTTGACAGATACAGAGGCATCCTTCTATCAGACCCTCAGAGTAGGTAGCATATGAGTTGGGGTGCGAGGAGCTTACCTTTACTTTGCTATTTTAAAAGCATTGTTTAAAACCAGCTTGTGCTTTATTCCATCATCAGCTTTCTGCTGCTGCTCTTCCAAACTGAGGAACTAAAACTCTCTGTATGGGAAGAAAATTCTAAATACGCATCTTTAGAACTCTTCAAAGTCCAGACCATTTTTATGTGCCAAAAACGGGTA